ATAACTTTTAGAGAATATTTTTAAAAATTTAATTTTTGGTAAAAAAGTTCCTTAAAAAATTAAAAATTAAAAAAACCCAAAATAACCAAAAAATATAGATTTAAAAAGTCATAAAAAATGCTTCAGAAAATGCCTCAAAAACTGCAACAAAAATCCTTATGAACAGTCCTGTATCCTAGGTGTTCGTTCGCGAAGAGTTAATTAAGGCAGCCTTTCTTAAAGGAAGCCAAGTCCTGGCATTATTAACAAGGGGCAGTGGGCGACATTCACGGGAATCGGACTACGACTTGGACATGCTCTCTGGACTCAGACATGGACATGGGACATGGGACATATCCATCCTTCCGCCCCTTTCAGATAGCAATTGCGATTTTTCCTCGATTGCGGATTGCTGCGTTGTCGCTGCCCGCCTGACATTTTCGCATTTTCCGCACTCTCTTCGGGGCCGCATTTCTGTCTGGCATTTTGGCCATTTCCATTTGCATATTGGCCATCGCCCGTTTCGTGTCTTTTGACAATTTGCCGCATTGTTTGTTGTTAATTGTTATAAATTTTAAATCACCGCCAACAACAAACTGCATAGTTGTTGCTGTTTGCCAGCGATGATTGCGCTGGCTCTCTGCTGCTGCTGCGGTTGTGTTGCCGCTGAATTTATGAGATACATTTGCTGCTGCTGCTGCTGGAGAGGCACTTATGGCCATAAATAGTCAGCAGTCCCTGGCACAGCGCAAAATAATCGCAATAATCAGTGTGGCTTCCTCTCCCCCCTTTTTTAAATTTAGTTTTCGGAAACATTTAGTATAGTAACTTTTGCTGCTGCCTGCTGTTAATTGAAATTAAATGTGTTCATTTTGCCAGCATTTTAATGGGCATCGGAGGCACGTGGCAATGGGCTATATGATAATTGCCAAAAAAAAAAAAAAAAGAAGTAGGAACACTCTTTCCTCGGGTACATTATATTTTATGTACTTTATATATTTGTAATTCAATTTTTCAGCAGAGTCTGAAATGTATCCGGCGGATGCTTGGGGCTAAAAACAAATTTCATTTTCGGAAATGCGGAAAATCAACTTAGGCGACATATTGAGAAATCATTTTGCTATCAATCGTCTCGAGGAGGAGGAGTAGGAGGAGGAGCATCCCGCACACGTACGCAAATACAAGGATGTGAGGCGAATTAAAAGAAGCTACACAGATACAGATACAGCTGAAAAGATACTAGGGGGGGGATACACGGATGCGCAGATAGCAGATAGCAGATACAGCTTACAGATACAGCTACAGCTACAGCTGGCAGCGGCAAAAAGATACTTAAGTTCATTTGCGCCACTTTTTGCCGTCTGTCTTGCATTTTAAATGTGCGTTTGACTTTTGGCACTTTTTGGGATACAAATGTATCTGTAGCTGTAAATGTATCTGTAGCTGTAAATGTATCTGTAGCTATAAATGTATCTGTAGCTGTATCTCAGCTAGAACGGATCTCCTCTGCCCTTCTATTTCATTTCATTTCATTTAATTTACGCATGTTTCTCCTTCTTCTGGCGAATACATAAATAGTTTAGTGCTTAGTGTTTGCTGTTTTGGTGTCTTTTGAGGTTCATTGAATCCCAAACTCATCTGCATTTAACAACTCTCCCAATGATGATGGTGATGATGATGCTGGAATGATGACTCTGACTCATTCGCAATCTGCACCTGTGGCCCCCTCTGCCTATAAATAGAATGCTAATGAGCAGCCCAAAGCTCAACTCAACAACTCTCAACTCTCTGGCGATAAATCAATCAGCGAAAACGAGTTATGATCGCCAGCGGAATGTGACAGCATTTATAGATATTACGTGTGTGGTGCCCCATCCAAGGTTTCCGGCATTGTCAAGGAGTATCTTTCCCCTCGAAACTTTATTATTTCGTTTTGTTTTTTTTTGTTGAAAGAATTTTCTAATGAGAAAAGCATAATCAACCCCTGTTTATGGTTGTTTTTTTTTTTATAGCTGCTTATTAAGCATAATAAACAATATTATTTGGCTTATAAACTATGAGCTTTATTATGCCAAGATCCTTGAGGTAGGTTTTAGCTTTATGTTCCTCAAGCTGAAGATGGAAATTTTCAAGATATTTTGCTTGTCTTGATGACTTTAAATAAATTATAAAAATAATCTAGGGGGATAAGGTTTTAACAAGTGTTTTAGATAATCTTTTGGCTTTTTTTAAACAGTTTTATGTTAGTTTTTTTGTATATTTTTATTCGAATTTATTGAAATTATTATTTTGATTTTTATTTTTCGAGTTATCTTTCAAATATTTTATATTTATTTATTAAATATTTATTTTCCACTTTCTTGGTCTTATTAAATAATTTATTTATTTATTAAAATTGCCTATATATTGTGAACAAAAAATTACCATTTGTTTATTTAATTTATTTAAAATAATTTAAATTAATTTAACTTCAACGGAATGTGAAATAATTTTGGGAACATTTTATAAATAATATTTTATTATTATAATTTTTTATTAATTTTTTTTATTTTTTATTTATTATTAATATTTAATATTTATTTTATTAAAATTGGTTTTTTTTTAATTCGTTTTTATCATTATTAATTTTTAGTAATTTAATTAATATTATTTTATTAAAATTTAATATTTATTTTATTATTATTCAATTTTATAAATTTTATTATTATTATTAATTATAAATATTATTCTATTAATATTTATAAATTAATAAAAATGAGTGCTGATTCTTGCTTCCCATTAATCTCTCAAAATAGTGTATAATCTGTACAATCCAGGTCTCATTATTCGTTCTCCTACAGATCAATGAACCCAAAGATCAATGCTCGGAGCCTTGTATATCTATATCTTCTCATACGATTCGGGTTCTTTACTCTCTTGGCTTGGTTTTCCTCTTTAATTTAATTGCCAAAAGTTCTTGTAAAAAAAGAACCTATCTGAGAATTGTAAAAGTCATCGAGGCTCATTGACCCATTTTGGTAGCCCCGAATAGTTAAAGGCATCATTAAAATTTCTATCTGTATCCCAGCTACGTTTCAAGTTTCAAGTTCTCTTGTTTTTTGTTGTATTTTTATATTCCCGCTCTTGGGTGCGACACACATTCCGTTCAGAAAAGTATAAAAAATGTTTCTGGCAGAGATCGAACCTGTTTTGCCTAGCAAATGAACGCGGAGCGAGAAGAACTTGTCGGTTCTATCCGGCATATCGGGGTAATCGCATAAGCATGACGCGTATTTAATGGCAAATTGACCCAAATCGCTATTCGGACTCTGCCAATTTATGGGTACATGGTCGGGTCTCTCTCTGGTCTCTCTGGTCTCTCTGGGCCATGTTATGTTAAATGGTTTAAATGGTTAAGTGGTTCGTTGGTCGTTGGTAAGTGGCAAGTGATGGATACCCCCTAAGGGCAAGTGGGGGCCTTGAACTCGCCTGAGATACATATCTTCTTCTGTGATAACAAAAAAAAAACCAAATAAATCTCTAGAGAAACACAAGAGCCTTTGGGCTTAATCTTTTAGGTGCAAGCTTTTTGGTTGTATCTCTTTTTTTATTTATTCTGGAAGTATCTGCCTTTTGTATCTGCATCTTTGCATCTATATCTTTTCATCTCTGTTGCAAAAAGTTTTGCAGTTTTCATGCAAATGAAATGGAAATCATTTTTCCTACATCCTGCGGCTGTAAAGGTTTTCCAGGCAGCAAGTTTAGCAACAAGTTTTCGAGGAAAACTTGAGAAAATCCCACGAATACGAGTCGAGATTTGAGTTATTTTTTTATATTTTACAACTAAACAAACTATCTATAAGTGGATTTTAGTGCCAAGTAGTTATTAAAAAAATATATTATAAAATAAACCACCCCCAGTATCCCTAAATATCCTTGTTTCTTGGTGAGCTGCATCCCAGTGATCCCAGCTAGCTGCATTCACAATTGAAAGCAACAGCCAAACAGGGACAATGAGGAGGCTTTCACCCTCCCGGATGAGCATCCTCCTTAGGCTATATGCACACACCCAGTTGCGTCGCCGTTTTGTTTATGGATGCGTGTGGTCCTGGCCCAAGGCGTAGAGTGGAGGACACACAACACTGGATGCAATGTCATAAATATTAGAAGGCCTCCTCCGCCGCCGCCGCCAGACACAATGCCAGAGTTTAGAGTGAATGGATGGCTGGTGAATGGTGGATACTGGATACTGAATCCCGGATGCTGAAGGCATCCTTTTGGCCAGCGTCCCTTGTCGTTTGTCGCACGTCGCACGCACAACTCGCAATTGCAAAGATACAAAGCGCAGATAGGCAAACAGATTGTCGCCTGCAGTGGTGATAAGGGGGGGCAATAGGGGGGTGGCAAGCTTGACCAGGGAAAGGGAGAGGGTCAAGGACACAGTGGATCTTGGAGAATATAAAATGTAACAAGGGAAAATAATTAAAAAAAAAAGGGGTTTAGGGGAAGTAAAACCAATATTTCAAGAGGGTTTTGTTTATTAGAAAAATTTTAAAAATTATTTAAAGGTTATATTTACCTCCAGGACCCAATGTTTCGATTTCCTTGACCTCTGCTGTGCCATTTTTTAGATTGTTTTCCATTTTGTTTACCTCTGCTGTGGCATTTTTAGATTGTTTTCCATCATTTTGTTTCCTTTATTTTATAAAAAATATTATATTTATAACCCCAGAACCCACTGTTTCTATTTCCTTGACCTCTGGTGTGCCATTTTTAGATTGTTTTCCATTACGCAAAGGACCTGCCATTCCCCCTTATCCCGAGCAGCGTTGATTCCTGGCCCCAAGCTAGAAAATATTACAACTTGTCAGTGGGAAGAGAGGTGGCAGGCAGCAACGGAAACGGAAATAGCCTGACCCAGCTGACCGCCATATTTAAAAAATGAGTGATGACACTCGATTAGAGGGAGGGGGTGGGGGTTTTAGCCTTAATGAGACCACATTTTTCATTTAGATTTGCTTTTTTTTCTTCTACCATTTCAGCAGCTAAATCAAGCGGCAAGCCAAAAGGAAACCCTTGAATAAATCCTAGAAATCCTAAAAACACACACACACACCAGCCATGGCCCACTCCAAGGTGATCCTGAAGATCCTGTTCTCGCTATGCGTCTGGTCCTTTGTCATCATTGGTCTGTTCAAGATGCATGGCACCAACCTGGTGCCGCAGGAGTACCAGCAGGTGCCCCTCAATGGACGCATTCTGCTGCAAAAGGACATGCGGTATGCGGAGACAACGTCCACGACCACAGATCACTTTGATCCCAGCGAGATTTTAGTGGACAATCGAACAGGTGAGACCAGAAATAAGACTCTAAATGCAGCTATTAACACCTGGTGAGAGCTAAAAGCGAGCCAAGTGCTAACCAAAGGTGTTTATCAGCTCAATTTTAAGTTATTTGCTGGTTATTTAGAGGCTATTTAGGGTTTTAAAAATGGAAATTAAAACTGAAATGATATAAACTATTTATTTATGCTAATATTTACCTTATATTAATTTACATTCGCAGCCATGGACGATGACCAGCTGGTCAGGGACGTGGAATCTCGCATACCCTCGCTGCCGATTGCCTACTGGAGCAAAAACAAGAACTTTTTGCAACAAAAGTCCTCTACCTGCGCCAAATACCCCTCGATCTTTGAGCTGGAATTCAATAACATTTACTGGCAAACGTTGCGCACCTCGAATGGCACCTTTCAGCTCTTTGGCGCCTACTATGACATCCGACGCACCTCGCTCCTGGGACCCACCGTTCGCATTCTGGGCATGATTGATCGCATCGAGCCAAAGGTCAAGACCTATTGCCAGTTTTGGTTCGATGGCCAGAAGGAGCCGTTCATTGTGAAGACCTTCGAGTACAAGTACATTTGGTACAACAAGTGGGGCAACTACAAGCAGGGCATCTATCAGCCGTACCTGATTGCCTGCCAGATACCCAAACCGTTTCACGGTGTAGTGCCCAGCTCGGTGTCGATGGTGGAGAAGGAGTGCGACACGGCCACCAATAATCTGAGAGTGATTTACAATCGTCCGCCGGATGATCAGAAGAAGGGTTTTGCCGTGTGTGTCAAGGGTTTGGATTTCCTGTACGACGATCTGAGTGTGAGGCTGATTGAGTGGATCGAAATGCTGAATATTCTGGGAGCAGACAAGATATACTTTTATAATCTGCAGGTGGGTGTTAATATATGTTTTGATATATCTTTAAAATTATATATTTATATATTCCTTATATAATCGTCATATATTCCTTATAAATAGCTTATATACACCTTAGATATTTCTCATAGATTCCTTATAGATTCCTCTTAGATTCCTCAAATATTCCCCGAATATTTCTCATAGATTCCCTATAAGTTCCTCATATATATCTCATTTATTCCTCATAGATTCCTCATAGATTCCTCATAGATTCCTCATAGATTCCTCATAGATTCCTCATAGATTCCTCATGGATTCCTCATATATTCCAGGAATATTCCTCATAGATTCATCAATTCCTCATAGATTCCTCATAGATTCCCCATATGTTCCTCATAGATTCCTCATAGATTCCTCATTAATTCCTCATAGATTCCTCATAGATTCCTCATAGATTCCTCATAGATTCCTCATAGATTCCTCATAGATTCCTTATAGATTCCTCATAGATTCCTCATAGATTCCTCATAGATTCCTTATAGATTCCTCATAGATTCCTCATAGATTCCTCATGGATTCCTCATGGATTCCTCATAGATTCCTCATAGATTCCTCATGGATTCCTCATAGATTCCTCATAGATTCCTCATGGATTCCTCATAGATTCCTCATAAGTTCCTCATATATTCTTCAGGTATTTCCCATATATTCCTCATAAATTTATCATTAGTTCCCCATACACTCCTCATTGATTCCTCATAAATTCCCCATAAATTCCTCATATATTCCTCATCGTTTCCTCATAGGTTCCTCATAGATTCCCCATCGTTTCCCCATAGATTCCTCATAGATTCCTCATGGATTCCTCATATATTCCTCTTAGATTTCTAACCTTTTTTCTTACCCCTTTTACCCCACTTTCAGGTCCATCCCAACATCACCAAGGTATTGAATCACTACGAGCAGGAGGGCAAGGTCCAGGTGATACCTCTTACCCTGCCCGGCGGTCAGCCCAATGTCCCCGGCTTCCAGCATTTGTATCTCACCAAAAAGACCAATCACAAGCGACAGAACGAGGTGATACCCTACAATGACTGCCTCTACAAGAACCTGTATCTCTACGACTACATTGCCCTGCTGGACATTGACGAGGTGATCATGCCCAAGGGCGGCTCTGTCCTCTGGTCCGAGCTAATGGACAAGGTGCGCCCCGAGTCGCGCAAGATCAAGCCGGATGGCTTCCACAGCTACAACTTCCGGAACGTGTACTTCCTGGACGATCAGCAGCACGAGCATGGCTGGCACAAGGACATACCCAAGTACATGCACATGCTGCAGCACGTGCATCGGGCCAAGAACTACACCAAGCCGAATCAGTATGTCAAGTGCTTCCACGATCCGGAGCGTGTGCTCACCCTGCACAATCACTTCCCGCTGAGCTGCCTGGGTGGGGTGTGCAAGTCCTATCCCGTGGACACCCAGGATGCCCAGCTGCAGCACTATCGCGCGGATTGTGTGAAAACTTTAAAGAAAAGCTGCGAGGAGTATCGCGAGCATTCGGTGGAGGACAAGACCATTTGGAAGTACAAGGACGAGCTGATACGGCGCACCATCAAGGCGCTGGACACGCTGGGCTTCTTTCGCCGCCAGGGACTGAACTCGGCCTCAGGGTCGGGGGGCAGCAGCAGCGGTCTGGGCGGTGGAGCCACCACGCACTCGACGGAACGGTGATTCACACTACTCGGAGGTGGCGGCGGCGGCTGGTCCTGGCCCTGGCAGCTAGTCGAAGCCTCCGGCAGTAGTCTCGGCAACGAGGAGTTCTTTGTCTAAAGAGAAAGAGACAGCGAGAGCAAGAGCGAGAGAGATCCCTCGGAGATCTGCTCCCAGTTTAGTTAGTATATTGTGTCCAGTTGCAGTTCCCATCCAAGAACCATATATACCACAGAGAGGATTTTTCCAGGCCATTTCCTTGGGTAACTATTTATTTTACATTTTATTTTTCCAATTTTCTTTTATTATTTGTATTGTTTTGTTGAAGTTTTTTGAGTTATTTATACTTTTAGAATTAAAAAAAGAAATTTTTTAGTTTAATTTTTAATTTTTTTTTATTATTTGTAATGTTTTCTTAAAGTTTTTGAATTTAAAATTTTTTTTTAACTTTTTTTAAATTTTATTCTAATATTTAAAATTTCTTAATTATTTTTTTAAATATTATTTTTAGTTTTTCTTTATTTTTTGTAAAGTTTTATTTGACTTTTTAAATTAAACATATTTTTTTAATTTTATTTTATAATTTTTAAAATTTTTTTTCTTTAATTATTGCAAAATTTCAAAATTAAAATACACTTAACATTTTCTTTAATTTAAAAAACTGCAAAAACTTTAACAAAACATTTTTGGATTTTTTTGTTTAATTTTTAAAAAATGTTTAATTATTTTAATTTTATAATTTTATTTTATTTATTTTATTATTTGTTTTGTTTTATTGAAGTTTTTATTTTTTTTTTTTAAGGTTTTTAATTTTTTTTAATTTTATTTTTATATTTTTCTTATTTTTAAAATTTTTTATTCAAGAAAATCTAAACAGAATTGGGTTTTGGGCTCAGAAAAACCTGCTCTTAAGGGGTATATATGGCTAGTGTAAACAGTAGAAGTGAAGTTAGTTAGTTGCGAGAGAACACTTTTGAAATTGTGCCTTCGAACCTGGATGGTGGGGAGTACTACCCCTAAAAAAAAAAACCCTAAAAAACCTGAAACCTAAAGTCCTATAAACCCATCGCCTAAATCCTTAAACCTTAAACCTTTCCCTTACCTTGCAATTATGTATTTCCATTCACAAAACAAAAGACATAAAGTCACAACTTTTAAAAAAGAGACACAAAAATCAGGCCTAGTTCACAAGAGATATGACATATTGGTGACAAGGCTAGGAAAAATCATAATGAAACCTAAACTAAGTTCAAGACTGATGATGTTTATTAAGAATTATAAAACGAAGTAGAAAGAGAGGAGGAGTTTCCAGCTAATAATTTGTTTAAACATTCGGATTAAATCGATATTATTGTTGTTGTATAAAAAAGGAAGCAAAAGCAAGAAAAAATATCATTAAATGCTAAGCAAAAAAACACAAAAAACTCAAGCAAATTGAACAAGTTTCAGTTGTAAACTGTAAATAGGAAAATTGTTAAAGGCAAAAACTAAACTAAAAATATGCATAAAAAACCGATTAAAATCGGCTAAACTATAAAATAGCAGGAAAAACTTTTAAGTTTTATTTTTGCTACTTTTTTTTGAAATTCTACACACAAACTATAAAACACTACAAACACTATATACTATATTATATTATATATTATTATATATATTTGTAAACTTATGATTTTAAACTTGTACATACACATGAAGACACTCACACACACACAACACACATACTACACTTAACACTTTTTCTCCTTTAATTTTTATTTTATATTTTTCGTAATCATTTCCCCCTAGCAGCTTAGTCAAATTGGAGATGTACAGTTCTAAGAGAAACTAAAAACTAAAACTAAAAACTAAACACACATCTATATACGAAACCCATACAGTTATAGGATGCATGCCACACTCGTGTGTATTAATGTTAGTTGCTAGCCAAGTAAGGACTCGAGAGGAAAACCCCATTTTCTTTCCTATTTTTTTTTTGCATAGCTAATAAAAAACACAAGTGATTGAAGAATAAAATTTACAAAAAATTATAAAAAAAAAATACAAAAGCAGGCTTTACATCTTCCAAGGAGCGGGCTTGCAGGATATCTTTAAAGAGGCAAAGGAAAAGCGTGCCCAGGACGTGAGACACAAAACTTTCAGGAATGTAAACAACAAAGCATTTAGAGAGAGCCCCCCAGATCCAGGCACAAATGAATCCACTTTGCCAGGAGGAAGAGAAGCCAGAAGGAGTCAGGAGCAGGAGTCCTAGGAAGCCAGCCAGGATACCTTAAGCCACTGCACACAAAACTTTGTGCCACCGGACAGGACCAAAGACAAAAGGCAAAGCAAGGCAAGGCAAGGCAAGGAGCAAGCAGCAAGCAGCAGCAACAGCAGCAGCTTTCTTGAGGGGCGGCAAAATTTGTATAAACTTAAGTGAGCATTAAACACGCTCCACTGGAGGACCAGGACGACCGACCAAGAGGAGCTGTGAACTGGTAGAGCCAAGTTCCTTGGCGTCTAAGTTGGTTAATAAACATTACCAACGCCACAAAAACCATTTCCGTGAACTATTAAAATTCCGCAGCATTTAAGAGAGTTGCCACCACCATCACCACTTCCACTTCCACTTCCAGTTCCTTCCTCCTTCCTGCCTGCCTGCCGCCTCCGCATCCTTGGCCTTGTTTCACGATTATGTTTATTTATATGGCACACACACACACGAGGCGGAAAAAGGGGGAAAGTTTTCGGTGTAGAAAATTGGGTAAGAGCCGAGTTTATGGACCAACAGAGGAAGCCCCCATGGACCAAAAGGATAATGACAATGATGATGAGGAGGAGGAGGAGGATCATAATGGCAGCTCTCCGACTTGTGATTGAAAATTCACAGCTTCCTTTATACAAGGTATGTACAGCTGTGTTCACGGAAATAGCAGTGCCCAACGACCTGCACGTTTAAGATCGGAAAATCCTGTTACAAACACTATTTTCATAAATTTTTTTTCATAAAAGCTTAGTATATTTAATTATTAACAATACCACAATCATTTAATTTAGGTAAATAAACCTTTTAGAAGATATAGCTAATAACAACAAAAAAGGTCTATATTATGCCGATCATTGAAATAGCAGTGAAAAACTAAAATTCTTCATAAATTTAAAAATATCGTTTAAGAAACCTATTTCTTTTTAAATTCTAATTGACTATGATCTAATATTTTGTTAAATTGCCTTTATAAGCTATCATAGCCTCATACCTGGGTGGCATGGAGTCCACCAAGTCTTAGCAACGCTTGAGGGGAATATGGCCTCATTCCTCCTGCACAAATTGCCAAAGCTGCATCTTAGAAGTCGGAAACTTCTTTAATAAGTAGCCCTTGATGTCCCCCATAAGTTTTCGATCGGATTTATATCCGGGGACTGTGCAGGCCATGGCATTGCATCCACTTTTTCATTAAGAACCCACTCCTTGGCCACCTTGATGGTATGATTAGGGTCACTGTACTGCTGAAATGTCCAAATTAATGGCATATTTTCCTCAGGATACGGCTGCAAGACAGTTTTTAATATTTAGACATAAACATAATGGTCTTTGATCCCACCGATCATATTTACGGGACCTAAAACGTTGTATGAAAAGTATACCCATACCATGATTTTTAGGCCACCGTGTTTTACTGTCTTCAGCGTATGGTTTGGGGGGTACTATCTATTTGGGGGTCGACGGACATATTGTCTTGTCCTATTCCACCAAATAAAACCAGTTTGGAGTCATTTGTCCAAAGGATATTACGCCATTTGAAAAGTGGCAGTTCAAGTGGCTATTGGCGAACTCGGATCTGGCCTTGATATGCCTGTAACCAAGCAGTGACATTTTCCATGGACTTCGCGAATCTAAAATTTATTCAATAAGTCCCCGGCGAATGGTCCCATGACTGATTCCCATGCCAATTCCCGCTCATATATCCCTAGAGGATGCAAAAGGACGAGCTTTGCTGAAGCGAAGTACGCGTCGAGCCTGTACAATTGGGGTTTTGCGAATCGTACCCCGTTTTTTTTGGGTTCGGTTCATATTTTATGACTTATAAACTATTTTAAAAGAACAATTTGAAAGATTTGGAGACTCTTTACATGTTTTCCCCTTCTTTCTAGGCTAAATTATCTGATATCTTTCTCTCATGGAGCAGTGAGGTCCTGCGCCCACTAAAATAATTTTTTTTGCGTTGTAAAGGTGTATTATAGTATAAACTATAATAACGACCTTAATTAAAGTAATTTTTTACAAAATTAAAAGAAATTTCGGCACTTTTTGCGAAAGAAAATTAAAAACTGCTATTTCAGTGATCGGCCAAAACGAGCTGCATATCTGAAAAAATATCAATAAAACATAAAAGTAGAGCAAATCTAACGGAATTTTTTCTCGATTCTTATCTTTATGTTCCATTTTACAAAAACAATGTGCAATAGATCAGCTTGCAAAAAGGAATATGTACAAAAAAACGTTTTGAAGTTGTTCCTCTGTCGCACTGCTATTTCCGTGAACACAGCTGTATATACACTATAACCTATATATATATATATAGGTTATATACTCGGTTTATATGGCATAAAAATGTATATGCGAATGCGAAATGCAAATGCGGCGAAACTAATTAAAATCCCCTAGACCCCCCGGAATATGCAATATGCATTCATAATGCATGCGCGTAAATCTGCGAATAAAGAGAAGCGCGGCTTAAAAATTTAAAATCTGCAATTACAGGATATATACCACCACCACCACCACCAGGTGACTGACTGACTGTGGCAAGTGTTGGGGATTTTGGATTTTTGTGATTGCTGGAAAATGGCTGGAACATTAGTTCTGCACCGGAAGCCCCTCAGGCAGTCATAACTCAAAAGCAAGCAGTTCACTGGGGAAAAAAAGTAGGTATATATTTTATTTTATATTTGTTTATTTAGTCTATAACATTTACAGGATTCTTGTTGATTTTAAAGGATAATTTACTGGATTTTTATTGATTTGAATGGATAATTTAAAGGATTTTTATAAATTATTTATTTTTATTATTATTATTTATTTTTATTAATTTTACAGGACAACTTAAAGGACTTTTATTAATTTCAAAGGATTTTACAGGATTTTTAAAGGATTTTTATGCATGATACATGGTAAGGTATTATAAAAAAAATTCTAAATCTTTTTTTCTGCTACCAAAAAACTTAAGAGATATTTTATTATTTATTTTTATTTATTATTCTTATTTGTTTTACAGAATAACTTAAAGGATTTTTATTAATTTCAAAGTATTACTTACAGGATTTTTAAAGGATTTTTTATGAATTTTATGCGGTAAGATATTATAAAAAATTAATAATCATTTTTTCACTTAAAATTAAGCACAAAAAATATGATAAACAAAGCAAGTTGCACACTAAAAATATAATCTATTTACAGGATTCTTATCCATTCTACAGGATAATTTACTGGATTTTGAATATTTCTACGTGGAAAGATATTATAAAAATTGAAGAAAACCCATTTTTTGGATACAAAAATCTTTTAAAGGTATGTTATTTTGTATTCCTATTTATTATTCTTATTAATTATATAGGATTTGTTATTAGTTCTAGGCAAAAAAAAATATTATGAAAGGAAAATAATACGGAATAATTTACAGGAGTTTTTTTTTTAATTCTACGTGGAAAAATATTTCTAAAATTTACTAGACCCTTTTTTTTGCTGCAAAAATCTGTAGAAATACAAAATCATTTTAAAAAAAGCACAAAAAAATTATATAAAAATAATTTACATAAAGTTTTGTGAAATATATATTTTAAATATTTTTTAAAGACATTTTTTTTTCAGATTATAAGCTTAAAAATACTTAAAAAAAGCTTTCTTAGCTAAGCAAATTTCTTAAAAAGAAAAAAAACCCTTAATTTAGCTCAAATTTCCTTGTAAAATCTCAAATTCCCCTTACAATTTCCCTACATTTTCCCTCTCAGTGTAGTAACCACGTCCCACTTCGCTCTGACTTGCCACCGAATCTGCACAGCAATCTCAATTTGAATTTGAATGCAGATGGCGTTTGATTTTTGGCCAGCCTAATTATGTCCGTCTCTCTCGGCCTCACCTTTGACCCCACACCCCCCGCACACCCCACACCTGGGCGTGTGTGTGTGTGTGTGTGTGCTGCGTGCAAGATTGGCAAACCAAACAGGAAATGCTAATTACATGTAAGTGTACACAGCATATGAGTGTTTGGTGTGTACGTGTGCGTGTGCATTGCTACCTGCAGCATCCGCGTTGCACCTGACCCACCTACCTGTGGCCACTCACTGGTGGCAGCAAAGTTGGCCCCCGATTGCCGGGCTCATGCAATATTATTGCTCGCAATCTAATTAACCGCACAGGGAGAGCATCTCCTAGCCCACACACTCACTCACACATAAACACACACACACACACACGTATACAGCCTGCACTAAACCTGGCCAATATTTGCGCCAAGTGGTCATATCCAAATGGCCGAGACAGCCGCACAATGGAAATTATACGCTTAATTGAGAACGGAATTCGGCGCTAATTCAATTCGCTTTCGCTGGCGGGGCTAAGGCAACTCCCAGCTCTTGGCTCTGGGCCTCCTCCTACCTCCTTTCCCTTGACTTTTGGCAGCTCTAAGCTGCCGCAAAATGGCGGCCGAGGGCAGCTTTAAGCCTTGATTAAGAGCCCACTGGCAGGGATTTAAGCTGCTTGCAGGGTTGTGAGCTGAGACTGGGAATGTTCAAAAATATAGAAAAAAATATAGAAAGCCTTGGAATGTTGTAAAAAATATTTTTTAAAAATATAGAAATTCCCTCGGAATTTGGTAAAATATTGGAAAAATATAGAAAGCCTTGAACAATATTTTTATTTAAAAAAATATAGAAAGCCGTTGGATTTTAATTTATAAAAAAAAAAATATAGAAATCCTTGGCAATGTTTTTATTTAGAAACAATATAAAAAATATATATTTTAATATATAAAAAATATAGAAAGACTTGGAGGGTTTTTGTATTTATAAAAAAAATATAGAAAGCCTTTGGAATTGTTTAATTTATAAAAGAAATATAAAAAGTCTGCGAATGTTGTAAAAAAATTATTTTAAAATATAGAAAGCCTTAAGAATTTGTTAAAATATATACAAAATATAGAAATCCCTGGAAAGTTATTATTTATTAAAATTATAAAAAGCCATTGAATGGTGTAAAATTTTTTATTAAAAATATAGGAAGTCTTGGGATATTTAAATGTATTAAAAAATATAGAAAACCTTGAGAAATTTGAATTTTTTACAAAATATAGAAAGCCTGGGGAATTGTTAAATTTATAAAAAAAAATAAATAGAAAGCCTAGGTTATGTTTTAATTAAAAAAAACACTGGGAATTTAGTGAAATATTTAAAAAATATAGAAAGCATTGCAAGTTCATTTATTTCTAAAAAATATAGAAAGCTTGGAAATCTTTTATTTGTTATATAGAAAGCCTTGAGAATTTGGTAAATTATTTAAAAAAGAATATAAAAAGCCTGGAAATGTTGTAAAAATTATAAAAAATAATATAGAAAGGGATATTTAAATTTATAAAAAAAAAAATTGAAAGCCTTGGGAATTATGTAAAATATATACAAAACTATAGATAGCTGTTTTAATTTATAAAAAAAAAGAAAGCTTAGGTTATGTTTTAATTTAAAAAATATATACAGCCTTGGAGAGTTTTAATTTAAAATAAAAAAATATAAAAAATATAGAAAGACTTGTAATTTTTCAATTTAAATTTTTAATTTATAAAAAAGCCCTGAAATTTGTTAATTTATAAAAAAATAATATTAAATACTCATTGTTAGTTATCCTTTATTTTCCTATTATATTATTATTTATTTCTTAAATACCCCTTAACCCATTTAACAATTCCTTTGAATTTACAGTCTTGTCCTGGTGGAAAGTCCTGCTGGCCCTGCCACATCCTTTGTGGCTTCAGCTGTCGGTGCCCTGCAGTGCCACTGACACAGTTCCTTTTCCGTTGCAAGCACTCTGCTTTTGGCCATTTACCATTTACACTTCTCCTCTGCCTCTGCCTCTGCTTCACCCTCCAGCCCCCTCCTTTTGCCGGAAGTCCTGCAGATCCTGCCGCCTGTCGATTAGTCAATTATAGACAAATGGCCTGGGAGTTGCAAGCGCGGCGGCAGCGGCACAATGTAAACAAGCCATCAATAGCGGCGAGTGTACAGCGGCAAGGACATGGCAGGAGCGGGGGGGAGGGGAGCGGAGGAGGAGCCTGGTTGAGATAAAAGAATTATGCATAGGCAATGCCAGCGAGGACTCCCTCCCAGCGGCAGCAGCAGCAGCCGGAGGAAGCAGAGGATCCAACACAAAAGGCGAGAAAGCATCCCAGGGGCCAGTCCGGAGTCCGGAGTCCGGAATCAGCGGCAGCAGCAGGAAACCACAAGCCACACGGAGAAATTGAAAAAGAAATGCAGGAAAACACACAACCAAGGGAAAGGAAACCAAGGGTAAGCATAGCGAAACAAAGAAAAGAAAGGGGAATAAAGTGGAAAGGAAGGGGGAGCAAAAAAGAAAAAAAAAACTAAACAAAGCATAAAAAACACAGAAAAGAATATACAATTTTAAGGAAGAAAAGAAGGAAAATGAAACCGAATTAAAGGATTTTTAGAATTTTTAAATGGGGAAATGAGTAAAAGAGGTTTCTTGAAGGATAATTCCTAGAAAGATAATACCCTGATCCCATCAATCCAAATCAAAATCTAAATAAATTAATATTCTTTACGATTTTCTCTCTGTGACAGAACAAACACCTGCCCGCCGCTGAAAAGGGGTATTCCCCGCGGTGCCCCCAAGGATGAGATTCTACAGCATCCTCCCTCCCCCCTCTTTCCCCTCTTTCCCCCTCTTTTCGCACAAAGCGGAAATCGGAAAAAACGCAGCGAGACAAAAGGAAAGCGATAGAGAGAGAGCCAAAGAGATACTCCCACAGGGCCAAGTGGTTAAAGCGGACTTGGCCCAGTGGCACAGTGGCAGTGGTGAGTCCTGCCATTTGTTTTAAAGCCACGGGGAGGGGTGGGTGGCGGGGGAGGTGTATCAGGGAACAGAGCTTAGTGACGGTGTCAGGCAGATAAACAAAAGTTCTTCGTGTCCGGGAGGAACCACAGAGACAAAAGCCCAACAAAAGCCAACTGGACAAGAGAGACAACCGATATTGCGACTGCAATACACTCATTTTGGATAAAGCAAAAGGTAAGTGAGCAAAGATCTTAAAATCGAATATTTAGTTTATATTTTATGAAAGCCTAAGTTATTATTAAAATAATTCGATAAATAGTTAATAATTAATATGATAGAAAATGCAATTGATCTTAAAGAAAACCATTGCCTAAGTTAGCTTATCCCTTCTTAATTATTATTCCTTAAGAATCGATATAGTTTTTGGTGAAAAATATATATAAAAAAGATATACACTTATGCAGACCATATAAAAAAGTGGGGTTTTTCAAGGAACTTCGATAATAAATCGTATAGAAAACCGTATTTAAAAGTTTATCATCGCTAAAATATAGTATGCTGTTTTATTAACGCTTTTCAAATTAACTTTAATGCATTTTGTACTTAATTATATAAAGAGATCTATCCTTAAAATTAAAAAAAAAATTGGGAAAAAAATTAAACGAAGTATGCAGATTTATTAAGCGTATAAATATTGCATTACAAGCTGTTCCCAGTATGAATTTAGACTGGGAACAGTATGACTCTTCCGCTTGTTGCTTATTAGTTCAGCCCAAAAGATGCAAAATTTTACGGCTTGACAATTTTTCATTGCCTACTTTCGCGGTGCATGTTTTTATTTTCGTTTTTATGAGGTTAATAAATTATAAATAAATAAAAAAAATAGTAAATTAATAATTAATAAATAATAAATAAATATTTAATACATAATTAATAAATAATAAATAAATAACAAATAAACTATCAATAAATAATCAATCAAATATCAATAAAAAATAATAAGTAAATATTAAATAAATACAAAAAAATATATTAAATGAACAATTAATAAATAAATAACAAATAAATAATCAATAAAAAAATCAATATAAAATAATACAAAAATAATAAATTTATATTTAAAAAATAAATAATTAATTAATAATTAATAAAATATAAATAAATAATAATAATAAGAAATGTATTAATTTTAACTATTTAAAAATTTTAAATGATCTTGTTTTTTTATAAATTTTGGGAAAAATAAAAAATACATTTTTTAATACAGTTTTTAATAATTGAGAAATTCCTTATTGTTAATTTTTATTTATTATTAGTTATTAATCTCATAACATCGATGGCTTTCCCTTTTACTAAAATTAAAATACCCTGCAAGGGTATAATATTGGACATAACTTAAGGGGTCTTGAGTTACAGTTGCCCATAAATACACCCCTATAAGACACTCCCCGCCCCCCGAACCTGCTGCTGCTGCAGCCACAAGGACACTCTGCTGGCATCAGGGATAAGGCGCCATCGAGAGCATCCTTCATCTGCCTTTGTTTTACGGTTCGAACGGCAAAGGGTTTTAAAATTTAAGCAGACGGCAGCGATCGCAGCCACACGATTTCCGCTAAAAATGCCAGCTGGGAAATGGGAAATGTGAAATGTGAAATGGAAAATGGAAAATGCCACACCGCCAGCAAATATCCTGACCATGATGCTGCCAATGGCCAATCGCTATGCAAACAAAGGCAACAAAATCTAGTTAATTGGGTAAAATGCTCGGGCGGAAATTGAAAGCAAAAGCAAAGGCAGCATGGAGGAGGGTGTCCTGGTGTGTCCTGGTATGTCCTGGGGTGTCCTAGTGTGTCCTGGTGTGCGTGTGAAAGGGCAGGGTGGCAATGCAATAAATATCTAAATTTCGCCGGGGCATTATTTATCGATTTATGCAAATTGTTGGCAGGCAGAGGGCCAAACATTTTATCAATAAACAATAATAAATTAAAATCAACAATCACAGGACACTAAACAATGTCACCCCAGCCCCCCAGAGGACTCTCTTGAAATATTTTTGATTTTTTTTTTGTGTCCTTTTTGAAAACGAAATTTATAAATGCAAATTGTCAACGCCACCAAAAAGCGAAATGCATGGCATTTTTCCCCACAAAACATGTTCATATATAACTGTGTATATATCTGGGATAAGTACTTGTGTGTCTCCTCTAAAATATATATACAAAATGTAAAAAAAATATAAGAGCAACAATAAAAAAAAATGGAAACCCAGCAGCGTGAGTGAATATGCGAGGTCAGGTGCTTTTTGGTTCCTACAAAATTCGATTTGTGATACAAAAAATACAAAAAAAAAAGAACTGCCCTGAATAATTACTAGCCCTCAGGGGTGTGTGCACACTGTTTCGAAATAGCCTGCAGCTTAGTATATGCACACACTGGTTCTTCAACAAATATACAAAATATAAATAATATAAATATTAATTGGAATAGGTGAAATCAAGGCTTAATAAATATCTAAAGCATTACCCTGAATATATTTATATATAATATAATATATATAAATATTAAAAATGCTTTTGGGATTCATTTAAATATTTATAACTATTTTTGTACTATAAAATAAATTTGTTGGCATTTTTGCAACATTTTATTTAAATGATATTTCCCAAAAAAAAAAATTAGGAAATTAAAATTAAAATAAATTTAAATAAATAAATATAAAAAATAAATAAATTTAATAAAATAAAAAATTATTTCCATGAAAAAAATATATAAGGAAACTTTTTTAAAAATATTAAAGATCCTAAAATATAAAATATTTCTTTAAATGCTTTCAAAGTAAATATATAATATAAATTAAATATTTAAATATAAAATATATATAAATTAAATATTTATATATAATATATTTATATATTATATGTTATATATTTAAAATAATTTTTTTAATTATTTAAACTGCTTTTTTTGGGATATTTAAAAAATATGCAACTAGTTTTTTACATTACATTAAGATTAATTTAATTAAGATTCATTTCTAAAATTATGGAAGATATCAAATAAAATATTTTTAAGCCCATTTTACTATTTATTTCTCTAAAAAAAACAAAAATATAAAACATTTTCTAAAATCTAAAATATTTCTTTACATGTTTTTTTACAGCGAAAGAGAGAGAGACTGCTACCTATATTCATTTTTTTTGTTGGTCAACTCCTGGACACCGTCTCTTCATCCATGCCACGCCCTGGAGCATCCGCCTTTCCAACCACCCACCCCCCCGCTTTTGCATCCCCTGGAGCGTGGCCACCTCTGACCGTAGGTATTTTTGCATACTTTTGTGCGACGCGCAAACAATTTGCATTTTCCATTTTCCTTTTCAGCGTCAAATGAAATGGGCACCACCACCACTACCAACCGGCCGGACGAGCCTGGGAAAACTACTATCCTTTGTGGAGGCAGGAAGCATTTCCACTCCCCCCCAGAAAACTCTGCGCCGATGATTTATTGCACTTTTGACGTTATTGATATTTCATTTGTTTGCGATGAAGTCATTTAGTGGCGGACAACACAGGGAAAAGGATCCTACCAGGATTTATGTAGGGGTAAGTACAAGTTTCTTTAAAAAATCCAACAATTAAGTTGTTAATTATAAAGATAAAAGGCTGCTCTTAAGCCTGGACAAATATTTAAATCATCAACTGGGAGTCTTTAGCCTTTGCCCATACCTCCTTTTTCTCGCTCTCTCTTTCTCTCTATCTCTCTCTCTCTCTCTCCCTGTCTCTCTCTTTCTCGTAACGCATAATTTAACCGAAAGCCAGCTTCAAGGACCTCCAGGGTAACTGCTAAATGCCAGCCGAGTGGCAAGTGTCCTGCGGAAGGTTCTTGAAAGCCCCCCCCCCAAACGACAGCGACACCGACAGGACTCGAGACAAGTGCCACACACAAACACACACACACACACACACCTTTTTCAGAATTTCACTTGGGTGTTGTGGCTGCACTTGAGATATATCTTTCTCTTTCTAAATATATATATATTTTATATATATATATCCCTATGCATCCTATCTAGTTTTTTCCCAACACAAGTGGCTTTCGCTAGTGCCTTTTTGGGCACTTTCCCGGCCAAGAGCTCGGCACAAATGCATTTTCCTTATTAAGCATACGCCCCGTGTGCCAGGATTGCACTTAAGTTTTTCATTTAAATTATATGGAAAAGCTAGAAAGAGAGAGGGAGAGTCAGAGTCAGAGAGCTAGGGAAAAGCACTTTTCACCTGGCAAATGAATTTTCATTTGCTTTTTCCACAAGAAATGATAGAAGGTGGCAAAGCGGGGGCTTGACTCTCGATATAATGCCATTTTTCCAGGCCAAAAAAGAGTGTGAAAAGGCTGGAAAATCGTGGAAAAGCCTTACTCAACCGCAGTAACAGCGAAAAGCAATTAAAGCAAGACAAGTTCCAACGAAAGTGCGACCGAAATCAAACGGAAAGAGAGAGCAGAGCCTAGGAGTCAATTTTTGGTCAGCGGTTAAAGGGTGAACCGAAAAAAGGGGGTTAAGAGGGGATTAAGAGGGGGTTAAGAGTGGGGTTAAGAGGGTGGAAAGAGGGGGAAAAGAGGAAGCAAAGAGGGGTTTAAAAGCAGCCTAAAGAGTGGGTTAACAGGAGGTGGCTATTAGGCTGGGACACAGAGCCCCGACCCAGTTTGATTGGCAATTGAGGCGAGTGACAAGTGAGGCAGCAAGTGAATGGTGGCATCCTTTCAATATATTCAACCCTCTCGGGTTTCCTACTATTTTCCAGCATTTTCCAGCAGCATTTTCCCTGCTAAGCTTTCGTATGCCTCCCTTCCCCCCCCCCACACACACACACAATTTATGAGACCGCCGTTGCCATCATACTAATTGAAAAACTAAGCCCCTCCTAGGAGGAGGCAGTTGTGGCTCAGGCAAACAAAACCCCAAAATGTTGCACTTAATTGCAACTATTGGAAACTTGGCCTTAAACCGAATCCACATCCCATTTTCCTATGCTACAAATTGGTTTATATTTGGAGAGCGGGGGAAAGGAAATGTGAGTTTAAGAAAATATGGAACAAAGTTTCCAAGTAGCAACAAGTCTGTCTGTCAAGCGGGGAAGCCGCTGCCACCTCTTTTCCTGCTCTGCTGATTGGAGTAATTAAGGCAATTGATGTTTTATTTTTGTACATTTTTTTTTTATATATTTTGTTTTAATTATTTAATTTATTTCATTTTTTAATATTTTTTTTTTGATTTTCTTAATTTATTTTATATATTTAATTTATTGAATTTTTTAATTTATTTAATAATTTAATTTTCTTAATTTATTTAATATATAATATATTTAAATTACTGAATTTATTGATTTTCTTTTAAATTTAACTTTTTTTGTAATTTATTGAATTTATTTAATTTTTAAATTTTCTTATTTTCTTAATTTTGTTTTATACATTTAAATTATTGAATTTATTTAATTTTTTAATTTTTTAAATTTTTAAAATTTTTATATTTATTTCATTTTAATTTATTTAATTTTTTAAATTTATTTAATTAATTTTTTTGTTAATTTATTTCTTTTATTTTATTTCTTTTATTAATTCAACTTATTTAAATTATTTTCTTAATTTATTTTTAAATATTTCATTTATTTTATTTTGTTTTTTATCCTTAACTTAAATATATAATAAATTTTAAACCTATTTATAATTCGACCTTCTAGAAACCCCCTTAAATTTCTCCCCTTCTCCCTCTTAAACCCTTTGCTGCTTGCTGCTGATTTTCCCCCAATTAGCTTCCCAACTTGACTTTTGTGGGCGGACATCAGGGCGTATACTTGATATTTAACCTTGAACTTGGCCTTTGAATATAAATTCAAATTTATAAATTAAAACCCCGTCGAGTGCCAATGGTTTTATGCTTTTTATGAAATAATTCTCGGCATGTACAGATATATATATAAAGATGAGTGTGAAAAGGCTGTGCTGTGGATTCTGGCCAGGATTTGTAAAGGGGCGATATGTGGGCCCCAGAGTGGAGCCATAAAACCCACCAAAAGGGTTAAGTTTAGTCCGGTTTCAGGCCAATTTTAAGCCCTAAAATCAAGGACTAAATCTCAGGGCCAACCGGGGCAGCAGGTCAAACAGTCTTAAGTTGGCCACCAGGCTCATGAGGCGTTCCTCCGAGTGGGGAGGGGTCTCCTGCTCCGTCTCCGCCTCCGCCTCTGCTGGGTCTCCTGCTCTTGCTCCTTCTCCTTGACGATCTTTTTCTTCTTTCCGCTCCTCTGCCGCACCCTCTGCCCCATCGTTTTCCCTCACCGCCTCGTGAATCACATGCAACAGCCGCTGGTAGAGAAAGGACTGCCTGTAGATGGGCTTGGACAGCCCCAAGTGGTCATCGTTCAGCAGGTAGTAATCCCCAAAATCAATACGCGAGGACTCCTCCGTGACAATGCGCAGCGGAAACTTGAAACTGGTGAGCATCGTCGGCGAACCCTCCGCCACGCTGACCACCTTCACGCGATGCAGAAACCTGTGCAGGCAGTCCATGAACCTCCGATGCATCTCCAGCAGCTTGGGGGCATTCTCCTCCATCTCCTTGACCTCGATGGAGGGCGACAAGATCATCTGCATGTGCTGCTTCCACTTGGCAATGGGCGAGCCCCGATGAGGTGTACCCAAAAAGACAATTCCCCGCGTGCTCTTGGCCAGCTGCTGGACCTTGGGATCCTCTGAATCCGAGGATTTGATCAGTATGAGCTTGGTGAGCAGGCCACCCATGGAGTGACCTATCCACACAATCGGACGATCGTTGCCCACATCCGAGGCCACGATCCGCTCCAGCAAAGTGCTGGCCCGCACCTCAAACTGTCCCTGGCCGCGCTCGCAGGGGCAGTACTTGGTGAAGTTGGCCGACCATTCGGTGAGGGCAGAGGTGTAGTCGATGCCAATGATCCGGGCATCGGGATAATCGTCCGGCAGCCACTCCATGGGCCAACAGTTGGTGTACTCCTCGCTGGTGTCCTGGTTGTGCCACTCGTTGCCCGAGACGCTAAAGGTGCCGGCGCAATCCTCGCTGGCATTCAAAGGGATGTCCGGATGAACCACCTCCCAGTCGGCGTCGAGGTCGGAGCCCCTTAGTTTCTTGACAAACTCCATGGTGCCGTCGCTGCCGTTGAGCTGCTTGCGGTGGTTCGTCTTTCTAGAGGATGCCTTGACCACAGAGTCGGGCACTGGCTCCTCCGCGGACTGGCTATCCGGATTCTCGGAGGGATCCTCAGGGGTTTCCGAACTGCTAGTCTTGGCCTGCTGCCGCCACTGCTCGGCGGCCACAAACAGATCCTTGGACTGGCTGGTGTAAAAGGCATTCTTTCCGTAGATATTCAGCTCCGTGGTCTTCCGGTTCCTCTGCCGCCAGGTGACAAACACCCCGCCCATGAGGCCATGCACAAAGATGATATCCGCCTTGGGCTTGCGGGCAGTGCGTATGCGCGGATGCAGCGGATAGACATTCGGCGGATAGATGCACTGGTTGGGATCATCCCGATCCAGATTGGCCATCGCCTTGGCGGAGATCACCTGCAGCCGGAGATCGGGACACTGCTGCCACTCGGCCAGGACACCAATCCATCCAGTGGCAAAGAAATGCTCCACGGCAGTGGGCACGGCAGACATGTTGGCCAAGACCTTGCACAGGGTGGACAGGGTCTCGTTGTCCTCGCTGAAGATCTTGCGCAGCTCCATGAGATGCACCAGGCCGCCCTCCCGGATGATATTGGCCGAGACCTGGTGATCCTTGCTGATGTGATGCAGGAAAGAGATGATTTCCCGCAGCAAATCCATGTCGGCCGAGGACAGGACAATGGTCTGCTCTTGGGTGGAATCCTCACCCGATCCCTGCTGTGCCTGCTGCTCCGGGAAGTACTTGGCAAAGAAGTGATCCACGCAGGAGAGCGGCCTTAGCTGGGAGAGCATTGTGTGCAGCTCGGAGAGCAGCAGCTTGGGATTCTTGATGCAGCCGCGTCGATGGACGGGCATGAACCAGCGGGTGTCGGCGCCGGAGCGGGCCAGGGAGACGGCCGTGCGGGCATCACAGATCTGGGCCAAATGCCGAAAGTCCCAGTCCTTGAGGTGATTCATGCAAACCAGCTGCTGGACAGCCTTCAAACGCTCCGACTGGCTGCCCATTTGGGCTATGTTGAGGAGCCGCCAGGCCACCGAATGCTTGGCCGCCTTCCACCACTTGCCAATGGGATTCACGATCACGCTGATCCACTTCTTGTCGTCCTCCTGCTTTTGCTGCAGCTGGCGCATGGACTCGCGATAGATGTGGTACTTGATGTAGATGTACTCAGCCTGCCGGCGGGCCGGCTCCTCCTCCGGCTGCTTGAGGCGCTCCAGGAAGTGGCGCATCTTACCGGCATTCCACAGCCAAAAGCCGGCGGCGGTGGCCAAACTAACGCTGCCGGCCATCAGCAGGCGGGCGAACCTGGGGTGACGTTGCCATTGGGTCTTTAGAGCCTTCCAGGACATGGCCACACACTCACACACACGCTCACGCACACACAACAGGAGCACGCACACACACCGCACGCTCAATTTCGACTTGGATTGTTGCACAGTCACAGCCGCCGCCGCCCCCGGTTATTTTTTTTGTTTTATTTTGCAAACGATTTAAATCACTCGACAGCTGTTTTTGGTTTCTAAAAAACTGAAAGTTCCCACTCGGATTGGAGACAGTGATCGGAGAGCCTGCTGGGGTTATTGTTAGTTTGTTTTCAGCCAGCAAAAAGACCCTTAAATCTAGGAGTAATTGAAAAACTTTCTAGAGGGGGGAGCTCTCCCCAATTAAATATGCTAAAATCAAATCAAATATTTCACACTGCACAAAAAATTAAGTCAAAACAGCTAGCGATTTTAATAGCCAAAGGGCGGCGCCGGCAGAGAGGGAGGACTTGCGGCGGCGGCGGCAAACTTTGCTGTCGCAATTAATAAAGTTTTGCCCCGTCGAAGGGCGGCGGGAAAAAGAACGCACGCAAAAAAGCAGGAGAAAAATACAGAAAAAAATGCAATGCTTGCAGGATTTAGTGAGAGGGTTAAGGCCAGGCACGACCCTTTAAAAAATAAGACTCTGGAACTCTGAAACTCTGGAAAAATTGTGCAATTTTTATTTAAAATATTTAGAAAATATTAAAAAAGTGGTTACATTTTTTGGATTATTTTTGTGAAAAAACTAAATTTTAAAAATTCACAACTCAGTCAAAAGTGCATGAAATTCAATTCGGAAAGCTGTTCTGAATTGGGATTTCTGCGCTTAACAAAACTGCATACTACGTTTTGGGTCCTTTTCAATTTCACTTTTTTCCAATTTTTACATTTTTAATGATTAATTACCCCTTACATATTTTTGAAAAATTGGTGCGATTTATTGTGTGACTTATTGACATTTTTTCAAAATTTAATTGCAGCAAGCTGCCAGCAGTGGCTCCTCCGAGGAATCCTCGACAGCTGCCGGCTCCAGCCTGCTGCCAGCAGCCGCTACTCCGAGGAATCCTCGCCAGCCGCCGGCTCCAGCTGAGTAGGGATACGGCGGAGCAGGGATTTCGGCGGCGGAGCAGGGATTTCGGCGGCTGCAGCAGAGCAGGGATGCGGCGAAGCAGGGATGCGGTGGAGCAGGGCAGCTGCAGGAGCAGGAGCAGGGCTGCTGCGGCGGCTGCTGCGGTTGCTGCGGCGGAGCAGGGCTGCGGCGGAGCAGGGATTTCGGCGGCGGAGCAGGGAGGCTGGGATGACAGACCTCAACCCGATGGCAGTGGAGGACGGTGATCGGATCTTGGCTCCGGGCTAGTTACCCTGCAGCAGTCGTAAATAATTAAAATATTTATAAATACAATTTAAATATATAAATGTAATTGAAGGAACAATAAAAGAACGTGAAATCAATGTGGAAAGGTTTGTTGAAGTCGGCATTTATTTGGGGGCCTTGGGATAGTTTTTTCTGAATTTCCAAATTTTTTTCTTTATTTTTAAATTTTTTTTCAGATTTTTTAGAATTTTTTAGAATTTTTGCTAGAATTTAAAAAAAATTTTTAAATATTTTAACTGCCAAATTTGAATTTAAATTTAACTGCCAAATTTGAATTTGAATTAAACGACATCTGTTTCAGTGTGACCAGTGATCAGTGATGCTCATCTGCATCAGTGATGCTCATCTGGCTATATTTCAATATTGGGGGTGGCAAAAAATCGGGCTTTATGCCAGTGATGCTCATCTGGCTATATATTGCAATATTGGGAGGTAATATATTGCAATATTGGAAGGCATCAGTGATGCTCATGTGCATCAGTGATGCTCATCTAGCTATATATTGCAATATTGGAAGGCATCAGTGATGCTCATCTGGCTATATATTGCAATATTGGAAGGCAATATATTGCAATATTGGAAGGCATCAGTGATGCTCATGTGCATCAGTGATGCTCATCTGGCTATATATTGCAATATTGGGAGGCAATATATTGCAATATTGGAAGGCATCAGTGATGCTCATCTGGCTATATATTGCAATATTGGAAGGCAATATATTGCAATATTGGAAGGCATCAGTGATGCTCATCTAGCTATATATTGCAATATTGGGAGGCAATATATTGCAATATTGGAAGGCATCAGTGATGCTCATGTGCATCAGTGATGCTCATCTAGCTATATATTGCAATATTGGAAGGCATCAGTGATGCTCATCTGGCTATATATTGCAATATTGGGAGGCAATATATTGCAATATTGGAAGGCAATATATAGCCAGATGAGCATCACTGATGCACATGAGCATCACTGATGCAGATGAGCATCACTGATGCAAGTGAGCCAAATTTTTAAAATTTGGCCGCTTCCCAAACTGGGGTAACAGGCGAACAGAAACCAGCAGCAAGCAACTGAAAACTGGTATAAACTGTTATAAAAACTTTATGCAAAAATAATAATTGGTATAAACTGTTATATTCCATTTTATGCATTTATACCTCTTTTCTGCCGGCAACAACCACTTGATTGCAACAACAACCCCTTTACAACAACATCCCTACAGCAGCCCATCCAAATTTCCAAAAATTTCCATGCAAATTGCCCGCTTCCCAAACTGGGGTAACAGGCGAACAGAAACCAGCAGCAAGCAACTGAAAACTGGTATAAACTGTTATAAAAAGTCCAAGTTTCGAACCATTTAGGAGCCGGCGCAAGTAAGCGGAGACTTAAACCTTTTGCATCCAAATTTAGCTGTTATTTTACAACTTCACCTGGTCACACTGAAACTGATCGTCGTTTAATTCAAATTCAAATTTGGCAGTTAAATTCAAATTCAAATTTGGCAGTTAAAATATTAAAATTTTTTTTTTTAAATTCTAGCAAAAATTCTAAAAAAATCTAAAAAATCTGAAAAAAAATTTAAAAATAAAGAAAAAACTTTGAAAATTCAGAAAAACTATCCCAAGGCCCCCAAATAAATGCCGACTTCAACAAACCTTTTCACATTGATTTCACGTTCTTTTATTGTTCCTTCAATTACATTTATATATTTAAATTGTATTTATAAATATTTTAATTATTTACGACTGCTGCAGGGTAACTGCTGCTCCTGCTCCTGCAGCTGCCCTGCTCCGCCGCCGAAATCACTGCTCCACCGTATTCCTGCTCTTCTGCAGCCGCCCTGCTCCACCGCCGAAATCCCTGCTCCACCGCAGCCCTGCTCCGCCGCAGCAACCGCAGCAGCCCTGCTCCTGCTCCTGCAGCAGCCCTGCTCCGCCGCCGCCGCCGCTGCCCTGCTCCTGCAGCAGCCCTGCTCCGCCGCCGCAGCCGCTGCCCTGATCCTGCTCCTGCTCCTTCAGCAGCCCTGCTCCGCCGCCGCCGCCGCTGCCCTGCTCCTGCTCCTGCAGCAGCCCTGCTCCGCCGCCGCCGCCGCTGCCCTGCTCCTGCAGCAGCCCTGCTCCGCCGCCGCCGCCGCTGCCCTGATCCTGCTCCTGCTCCTGCAGCAGCCCTGCTCCGCCGCCGCCGCCGCTGCCCTGCTCCTGCTCCTGCAGCAGCCCTGCTCCGCCGCCGCAGCCGCTGCCCTGCTCCTGCAGCAGCCCTGCTCCGCCGCCGCCGCCGCTGCCCTGATCCTGCTCCTGCTCCTGCAGCAGCCCTGCTCCGCCGCCGCCGCCGCTGCCCTGATCCTGCTCCTGCTCCTGCAGCAGCCCTGCTCCGCCGCCGCAGCCGCTGCCCTGCTCCTGCTCCTGCTCTTGCAGCAGCCCTGCTCCGCCGCCGCTGCCCTGCTCCTGCAGCAGCCCTGCTCCGCCGCCGAAATCCCTGCTCCGAAATCCCTGCTCTGCCGCAGAAGGCTGGAGCCGGCGGCTGGCGATGATCCCTCGGAGGAGCCACTGCTGGCAGGAGTCTGGAGCCGACGGCTGGCGAGGATCCCTCGGAGGAGCCACTGCTGGCAGCAGGCTGGAGCCGGCGGCTGGCGAGGATCCCTAATTAATTAGGGAAAATAATAAAATAAATACATTAATTAAGAAAGTAAATAAATAAATAAATGAATAAGTAAAACAATAAATAAATAAAGAAATGGGTAAATAAACACAGAAATAAATAAATAATGTAAAAAAATATATAAAAAATGTATATAAAAATAAATAAATTAATAAATTCTGGTCAAAAAATTATCATTAACAATTATTTTTCTCAAAAAGTATTCATTTCCGACCCCATAAACCATATATATTCTTGGTCAGCATCAACAGGCGAATCTTTTTAGACTTGTCCGGGCGAAATTTTTTTTTGAGCCGTTTTTCAAAAATTTGATAAGGGGTTACATCATTAAAATTCTCGAAAATTGGCCTAAAATTGAATTTTTAAAAAACAAAAAAGGAGTATGCAGATTTGTTAAACGTATAAAAACTAACACAAAACCGTTTTCCGAATTGAATTTAAAGAATTTTTGGCTTAGTTATGGATTTTTTAAATTAAGATTTCCTCCCAAAATGAAAAAAATTTAAAAATGAATTGTTGGTTTATTTTTAGGAATTTTGTAAGTTTTGTTTATTAAAAAAAAAATAAAAAATATATATAATATTATAGGTAAATGTTTACCTGTTATTTTATATAATTTGTTTATTTATTTATTTCTAAAAAAAAGTGTATAAACTTATAGGCAAATATTTACCAATAATTTTATATAATTTTTGGAAAAAAAACAAATCTTAAAAAATCCATAACTAAGCAAAAAAGGCATTGGCTGAGTTATGAATTTTTGTTGTTTTTTCCCCCTAAAATTATCAAAATAAATGCATGAAATTTAATGTTCTGAGTTAGCTTTTTTAAGCTTAACAAAACTGCTTACTCAGTTTTTCTTTAAAACTTACCTATAATTTTAAATAATTTCTTAAACAAAATGAGCAAAAAACTAATATTCTAAAATTCATAACTAAGTGAAAAGTCAATATATAATTTTAAAAAATCTATAACTTACCCCTTGTAATCCTTTAGGATCACTATAAGGCCCTCGCTGTTCTACATGCCCATTGAAAGTAGAAGCTGGCGGAGGCGGTGGAAGAGCCGGCAGCCGGAAATGGCAGTCTGTTTACAGTTTTCGCAATTTTAAGCGAAAATCGCTGACGCAGCGTGTGTGACAGCAGCAGCGGCCGCAGACCCCCGCCACACCCCGGCCCCTTCGAGTGCACGGGCATCCCGGGTGTCCTGAGTGTCTTTGCATAATTTTTAGACAACCGCACAAGGGTGACTTTAATGTCATCAGCGGTTGTCCTGCTCCTCCGGCGACCGCCGACAGCTGTCAGCGGATTTAATGTGCAGTTTTAATCAAATTCACATCAGGCTAGTTAGGCGACGGGCGACGGGCGACTGGAGGAACGGGATGCTGTGATGAAAGTTGCCCATGGTTAGTTGTATCCTGTTATCCTGCCAATTTTGCTCCACACATGAAACGATAAAGAAAGAAACTCCATTTTAATATTATTATTTATTAAAATTATTTATTAAAATTAAAAGAATTTCGATTTTTTAAATTATTAAAAATAAACAATAAAGAAAATAAAAAAATGGTTTAAAGTTTGTGCACCTCAAAAGTATGCAATTAAAAATTGTCAAGCCGTAAAATGTTGCATCTTTTGGGCTGAATTAATAAGCAACAAGGGGAAGAGTCAATGCATAGCATACTTTTACGCTGAATTTGGATTGGGAACAGTTTGTAATGCATTAGTTTGTATTTTAATTAACAATAAAATATTGTTTATTAATAAAAAATAAAATATTAAATATTATTTTAAATAATAAAAAAATGTTTAAAACATTTTTTTAAGAATTGAGATCATCAATTGTTAAAAAATAAAGAATTTTTCAAACTGTTTAAATAAATATAACAAAATTAAATACTTTTCAGCATTAACTTTGTTGAGATTTTGGTTCCATAAAATATTTCACTTTAATAAGCAATCAAAATTTAATTTTTCACATAGATTTTCCCCTAATCTCTCTCTCTCTCTCAAACTTGAAGCTCCTGGGAATTCTAGCATTTGAAGCGA